GGAAAATAATATAAAATTAATGTCTGCTGCTAAAAAAACCCACAGGAGTGTTCTTTCTTACCATCTTTAATACTGAAGCCTAAAAATGTAGAAAATGTACATCTGGATTAGGAATGTCTTTGAAATTCCAGTAACATCTTTTAATGCTCAGATAAGTTTCTGTTTTGATCAATAGGGTTATCACGTTAAACAATTCTGTGTATATGTGAAACACAGCTGCTAGGGACGATTATTTAATTCTGTTTTCTTTGTGGTGCTTGTTTGTATAGATATCTTGAATGAGTTTTGAATAATACTAAAAACCAATACAGAGAAGATTTGGTTCTCAATATATAAGAACTTGTACCTGTGTGGGAATGACTGAAGGAATACAAAGTATAAATCAGGTTATTTAGTAGAATGGAAGATGGAGAGTGCTGCTACAATACCTCAAACAAAGACACAGGTTTAATAACATCTGATTGTTCTCCCTTTACCTTTCTCCCTTTACCCTTTTTTTTGGCCCTGAATTCTGTATACGACAGCACTGGTCCCTTGGCACCATCCAGAGGTGTTCTTTGATATCACCAAGTCCTTTAGAAAAACATATTTTTAATGTTTCTGTTACTGTTGACTGTTTCATATGTACCAGGCCCACTGTACCATTTTGTTAGCCTCTTCTATTTGTTTATCTTGCCTATTGTTTCTTGCTCTGAACTGTAAGCATTTAAAGGCAGTGGATGTCCTTCTGTACTCAACAAGGGCCAAAAGAGCCATGAGTTGTTCCCGGTGTCTGTGCACCCGAAGTGCTAAGAGGTACCAATATGGAAGATTTGCTGTGACCCAGATGGGAGATACCCAGTTGTTAAAAAGCAGCTGTCAGAAGGACTGCTGTACTACTGTGTGAATGACTTGTTCAATCCTGAAAATTCTTTAAAGGATAATCAAAACTAATCTGCCACTTACTTCAAAACTTGAAAAAAAGGAGCTTGAAACCCTGCAAGAAAACTCACACACATGCTGTCATTTCTACTGGAGGAGAAGAACTTACTGTGCCATATTTGTACTCCTATTGAGTGTTAAGATTAAAACAATTTAACAATTAAAATAAAATACAATATAATACCAATACTAATGATAATAGTAGTAGTAAAGAAAAGAGAAAGAGGAATAAAAGTCAAGAGAAAGAAGTGATGCACAATACAGTGCTCACCATCTGCTGACTGATGTCCAGACTGTTCCCAAGCCATAGCATCACAGGTTGGAAAAGACCCTTGAGACTGTCAAATCCAACCTATGACCTAAAACCCCCTTATCAACTAAACCATGGCACTGAGTGCCACATCCATTCTGTTTTTAAACACTTCCAGAGACAGTGACTCTACCACCTCCCTGGGCAGCCCATTCCAGTGCTTAACCATGATTTAAGTAGAGAATTGTTTTTCAACGTCTAGCCTAAATTTCTCCTGGCACAGCTTAAGACTGCTAAGCTTAAGATTAGCAGCTCCCAGCTGACTCCCCCCAGTTTAAATACTGGACAAAACATTCTATAGTATGGAATAGCCTTATGGCCAGCTCAGATCAGGTGTCCTGATCATGCTCCCTCCCAGCTTCATATGCTCAGTGCCAAAGGAGGGAACAGTAAAAACTCAGTGGTTTGGCAGTGGTTTAAACTAATCCCTTGCCCTGAAGCAGGGTTCTAAGACTACAATAATAAGGCACTGTTCAGGGAGACTCAGGGAGCCCTTTTTGCACAGCTGAACTTCCAGGTGCCTGTCAAGGGATTGCAGCCTGCTGGAGTTGCAGCCCCAGCCTATTTGCACTTCAGAGCTGTAGGCTTGGTTTCACAAATAGCTCTAATCTTAGCTTCTTTATAGACGGATTTATTACAGCTTAACTACAGCTTGCACTTATGCAGTATATGTTAAATACCAGACCACGCTGACTGATCAGCTGTAGCCTTAGCAGATCAAGTAGCCAACATGACTTTGAGTAAACATCCTATGTTATAGAGTTGGTAATGCTATTTAATTTTTTCAGTGACTATGCCCTTCTTATTACTATTTCAATTCAGCAGTCACAGAGAAATCTTTCTACTTTAAATGAGAAATACTATATAGACTTTACAAATAGAAATAAACTCATAGTTGATTAAATATTTTTTATGTTTTTTCAGTTTGTACCAAATTACCCTAGTTTTATCAACGTAAGTACAAATTCTGGAGAAGGCGCATTTAATATGATGTGCTTTGGGGTAACACACAAAATATGACATGAATGTAAATAAGGTTTGTCATCTGTATATTTTTCCAAAAATTATTTCATTTTTTTTACTCTCATGAGACTTTGAAAAGCATTTTACAAAGTACCTTAGATATTAAATATCCTTTCCATAAATAGCCACAAATAAGCAAGAAAAAGCAGTTCTGAGCCACAAGAACTGGCTTTGGATTCAAAATATGTCTTGAACACACCAAGAGCTTAAATTTTTGTGTGCCTTCTAGACAGGTTTGTGCTAAAAGATAAGATTAACTTGCTTTAGATCTAAACACGACACTTTGCTGGGCATTCTACATTTGATTTTGGAAAATCTAGTGCATTTATTTCTTTGAAATACCAACTGATCCAAAAGAAAAAGATAAGCTTTTAAGGCCAGATGTTAAATTTTTGACATATTAAGCATGAATATATTCATACCTCTACAATTAATTTAGGCATTAAAATTATTCCAGTTGCAAATTAATTCAAGAATTCTTATCCCACCTTTCATAACTCAAATTTTAAAAATCCTAAAGTTGTTCCTACCCTGGACTTTCACAGCCCATTTTTTTTTAAATCTAACTTAAATTGTAATCTATTTCTCAAAGGCCCTGTTCTGTTCAGGTACAACTACACAATCAAATGAAGATATGGCTGTAATATGTGGTAGTTTTTCCACACCAACCTCATAGAACAATCACTGGTAACAATAACAGTCATGGCATCAGTGCAGTTTTCATTTTATCAGAAAAGAAGCTCTCCAGGGACCCTTAGTTAAATTAAAAGCAGTATACTAGGGTATGGTACAGCTACACTTTAATAGGCAGGCATATCTTTCCTTTCTCATCAAAACCACCAAGAAGGTTAGGAGCACAAATCTTTTTTGACCAGTGGTAAAATTTGTTAAACTAACTCATTGAGGCACTTCATATGTCTTCCTCTCACTTATCTTCACTGGTTATACATACCAAAAATATTGTTCTTCTGTCCATCTATCAATCAATCTATCAGCAAATGAGGTTGTTTGAGCTACTGGTGAACTAACATTATACTAATGGTCCCTCTGGAAGAATACAGCATGCTTCAGCTTTGTAAAAATAATTGTCCTTTTGCTGTGAATTTGCTAAGTAGGTAAAACATACTACATAATATCATGCTCTAAGAAAAAAACATTAACTACTTCTGTATTGATAGAGATGATGGTTAACAAGAATCTTCTGCAATCATCTTTCTTGCTGCATTTTATTCTGCTGCTATAAGAGCCACTAAGTAAGTGTGTGGCATTAACAGTAGTCCAGCAGTTAGTGTGGATCTCTGCTGTTACACATTATAGTCCATAGCCATTATTTTTTAATCTAAGGAGAGCTTGGATCTGTATGTAGGCATGTTTTAATCTCACAATAACTTCTCTAAACCAGCCCAGCTTGTCTTCTTTTACTTCCATATTCTTTTTGGCCCTGAGTTCTGTTTTGTGCTGGTTCAAGATACAATAATAGTATGTTAATTTCTCTTCCTTCTGAGGACTTGCAAAAGCTTTCAAAGCCTGACATATAAGAGCATTTATTTTAAAAATATGCAGATACTGCTTATCTGAGGGTTTGAGATATCTGGATCTGGATCTGGATCTGATACTGCAGTATCTGGATTAGATACTGCTGATCCAGAGAGGTTGAGTGACATACCCATAGGAATCTTCTGTTGTAAAGGAATAGAAATGTAGAAAATTGTGACAAAAGCAGTATTTTGAGCCTTAGAAAACATCTCTAGGTATAAGACATAGGCTGCAGACATGCAGAATAATTCTTAGAGGAACTAGCAAGTAACATTTTACTCTACACAACTAAATGAAATAGGATTTCACATTTCATTTAAGACCTGATATTTTTGTCTAGAACATGCAGAAAAATCAATCTGAATTAACTTTTAAAATAGATTGCCTAAACCACTTTAAGTTTCTGCATAGCCAACTCTCATTTAGAATGTATTAATTTATTTTGGAAGTAAATGTAGTTAGATTGAATTAGGGCCACTTTAATTTTGTACAAGAATGTGCAAATAATGCAGTTAAAGTAATCACAACTTTAAATTCACACCTTTAGTTAATTTGCATTAATTTTATTGAGTGTTCCCAGACATATAAATTCCAAATCTCGCTGAAGTCAATAAACATTCCTTCAGATGCGTATTGTTATGTACCCAGATAGAACAGAGCAAGCAAGACAGCCTAAAGGAACATGTCCTGACAGCCAATAACGCTGCAGACAGAAGGTGGAGTTTCCTATCTAGTAACAACTATGGTAAAAGCACCTGTGTCTTGTGAGTGATATGATCCAGTACCTGAATGCTGAAAACACTTAAAATCACCTACTGTCAACATTTCATTATAGCTGTGATAGTCACATTTTTGATAGAGAAATAATGTTATCAAAATTGACTGCAGTGGGTTGCTCCCTTTTGTCAGGCAACATCACCTATAACAACTGAGAGGCATTTAATGAGCTGTGGGTGTTCATTGCACATGCCAAATTTCCTTCTTTCCTTGCAAACTGCAGGTCTTAATGACCTGATTTGCTGTAGACATGATGGCCACCCACTGGCAGCTGTGTCTGTGCTCCGTACAGATTGCTTCTTTCAGGAGCTGCAAATGGAAAAGTCTGAAAGAGCATTTATTTGAGCTACTGAAAAAGCAGTGGGAGATTTGAAGGAAGAAGGCAGGGGCAATACAGTCTCTAATAGGTCTCATTTTTACTCTAACATTGCAGATTAAAACTTACATGACAACAATCCACGTGCCAAGTGAGCTACAGGATTTCTGCCCAATATCTCTGTTCAGAGGTAACAAAATGCAATGGCTGCGTGACTAAGAAATGCCAAGGTATGAACATGAAGCAAATCACTTGGCAGTAGCTGCATGTGAAAAACAGACTGTTCTGAGAAGTGAGAGAAAGCAGATGTCTGGCCATCAGGGCTAGGTTGATTGAAATTTGCTTTTACACATGCAAGTTGAAAATATGGTAGCACTGTGAATCTCAAAATTTAAAAATTAAAACTGGATGGCAAACATTTAGCTGTGTTTGCTACTTCAATAAGAGGAAAATTTATCAAAATACTGTTTAAAAAACTACTGAGTTGCAAACACTGCTATCACTGATTTTTTTGGAAGAAGAAGTTAAGGTATAAGCAATTCTTATTAAAATATTTTTAACACAGCTAATCTGATTCAGTTTTGCTTAATTTTACTTTAAAAGGTAGTAATTTTAAAAAGTTGCATGGGAATAGTCAATCTAAATTCCTCTTTCCAACACATGCACCAGATTTCTAATGAAGAGAGATTTTTTAAACTGTCTTGGCTTCGGTCCTAATCTTGCATAATATGAAACACAAATCCTAACATTTATATTTTTAACACATACAAACCACCTGACAATTTCATCTTAAAATGAAACTTTGCACCTACATTTAAATGAAAATTTATAGCAGGCTACTATATTGATAAAACATTCTAAATCCATACTTAGACATTTAAATATAAAACAGTCTTCTTTTAGAAGAGCAACATTATTCTATTTATAAATAAAAATGTTTGGTATCCATGGGCCTTTGGATAATTTATTTTAAGTACATCAAGCTTGCTCATACATATAAATTATTACTGAGAGAGAGGAAAAGAAAGAAAATATAGCTGATAGAAAGAGGAGTGTGTATATATCGAATGCAATGCATGACAGATTACTTTTTTGCACTTGTTGTAAAATTTTTCAATTTCCAGTAAGGTGTCATTTTAATTATGCTTGGAAACCAACAAATTTCAAATCAGTAACAAATTTCTCTCAGTAGCAAGAAACAGATTAGGGACATGGACTACAGACAGCTTGCTCTTGAGTTTTTCAAATCTGCGATCCTATTTTATAGCTCTAGCCTGGCTAAAAGTGTCTAATAAGTCATCAGAAGTTTAATGTATGAGTGCATGAGCTCCAGGCAGCAGTGAGCTTATGGTATCCTTTAACAGCTGTGCCTCCCACTCTCTTCCATGGAAGCTGGCCAATAGCATTGATCCTCCTGGGTTTCAGTTCAGCAGTGGAAATGAAATAATTATTTTAAAGATTTCCCCTGACTTGACTAAATGTTGTTTATACTAGCCTCTTCTTGTGAGCAGTTTATCAAAAGAAGATGTTCAGCAATCTTTTAATTCAAATGCTACATCTCAAGGTTGAGGAAACTTCATGTACTCCAGGGCAAATCATAATGAAAATTCAAGGTTTAGAACCATCATTTTAATGGCAAAATACTTACTTTATCCTTCCCTATTTCATTTAAGCCATGGGCTTTCTATTATGATTATTTATGGTTATCATTTTGGCTGCTCTGAGCAGCAGTGTCTTGGCGTACTTGTCTTCTCTGCTCAGGATGAAAAATGAAGTTTGAAAGAATGTTCATTACCTTCATGGCATGTGTTGACTGCACTGATTCTTCATCTGCCAAACTGCATATGCTGGTTTCTGGCTCATCTGAAGACCCCTGGAACTAAAAGTAATTGATCACATTAATTCTAATATAATCCCACACAGACCATGCTACCACTGCAGCTTGTTAACCTTATATGCAAACTGTTTATTTAAACTATCTGGATGACATCATGAAAACTACCTTCAATACATCAAAAAAGTATGAAATTAAAGCTCATTTTAATATTTTTTCAAAGATATGACTTGGGTTATGCTACATTTTCTCTAAAAAACAGAATTTGGAACTTTAGCGCTTACAGAATTAATTTCAATTCAGTTGGGCCTACTTTCCAAATAATTGGATTTTCACCAACTCTTTAAGAAACTAACTTTCAAATTTTCAAGTGTACCACAGAAGCCTTGTACACAGTGTGAAGTAGCAGTTGAAGGATCCAGGCAGCAATTTTCTGAACTGTGTGGTTCCATTTATATAATATAATCACAGAATGGCCTGGGCTCAAAAGCACCTGAAAGATCATCTAGTTTCAACCCTGGTGCCATGAGAAGAAAGGTGATTCTCATTCTTGGATTTCATGGACTTTTACATCTAAGTCAACTCCCTGAGAGATCTGTATCACACCTTACAAACCCCAGTCCACCTATTACCTCCCTACAGCAGCTACAGTTTCTGGTTATGCAAAACATTAAAGTTGTTCTAATAAACACCTTTGCAATTGTTTCCACCACCCTATGTATTTCCTACTGTCATGCTGGCTGCTGGAGGTAGGGAGCTGTTGACACCTGTAATAAATGGTGCCCTTTGCAATGACGTGGCATAATGTGTGAAAGACAAAATGTATTTGATCACTCTGTCACAGCGCAACATATAATTCAGTATAAGAGCAACTACTGATAAACCATCAGAAATTCCAAGGGTACCTAAGACAACAGAAAATTATTCTCATAACCAAACAAGGGTGAAGATGTAAGTGTGCACATGATTGATAGTGATTTATACATACAGAATGTTCCCTACTGATTTGGGATCCCAGCTTCAACTAGACATGGCATGGTGAAGTAAAGGTAGCACAGCAGTCTCAGCTTGAAGATTTCTTATAATTTGTCACTTTGGCCCAAGCACTTAGCCATGATAAAGTTGTTTCTATCTATATCTGTATATCTATATCTATATCTATATCTATATCTATATCTATATCTATATCTATATCTATATCTATATCTATATCTATATACATCTATCTATATCATCTATATCTGTATATCATAATTTATATCTATATCATAATCTAGCTATATCTATATCTAATTACTTTGCATAATATTGAAAAAACCAAAAAGCAAGTTTAAAATGCCATAAATGTATTAAGATTATCATCAAAGTATAAAGTAGTGTCTTTCAATCATTTGCCTTTATCACTAGTGCTTAGTGGGGTAGCAGCTAGGAACCTGTTTACAGCACTACTTCAGTGTAAATATTTAATTCTTACTAAACATGGTTTCTGAATGTGCACAATGAAAATCATCATGAGAACACTTCTAGGAGAATAATACATTACAACCCTCTCCTGTGATTATTCTTTTGCTTAAAATATAAAATTGTCCTTTGCAGGTAAGCCAGGTTCATTCTCATAGGCTTTCATGACAGCTTTTTAAATTCTCTTGCCTCTAGCCTAGTAGTTAGTTTTCCCAAAACACCACAGTTTTAGCAGAAAGGATTTAGCACTCATTGAAGTTCATTTCTTGTAGAATAGCTCAATGCTATGTGTTACAATCTGCATCTACTTAGGGCCAAGTGAAAAATTTTCAGTTTAAGTTTTTTTGACAGCAAATACAAAAAGGTGATTTCTTTTTCAGATTTAGGATAAATCTTGCAGTCAAAATGAGAGATAAAATCCTGAAACTATGCTTCTTGTCTGGGACATAGGAATCTTCAGGAAGGAAGGTACAACAAAGGAAGGTAATGTAATGATTGAAAAAATATATTATTATTTAAAAAATTAAAAACCTGCTCATGTTTTGTTACTCATGCAATAGCTGCAAAAAGAATAAGATACCAGGCAATAACAATATGCCCAATGCTCTAGCCAATTATTGAGGATATCAGGATGTGAAATGTGAGGAATGGCAGGTTTTTTTAGCTTATATTAAGCGAATACCAGCTGTGGAGATACATGGTTCCATTTCAAATAAAAAAAATCCCAGATCTGGTTTGTGTGCTGGAGTTCTACCCTGTTTGTCTAGGTTTTTTTCCTTATTGGTTCAGTTTTTGAAATAAAAATTAGTATATTTTTCCCACAGACCTTTCTCCAAATACAGACATTCACAGTAGCCCAGTGATTCTTTAGACTGCTGCTTGGGAACAAATTCTCTAACACCTTAAAACAAAATTTATTTATTAACAAGCACAATAGTTTACCTTCTCTAAGTCCTAAAATCATCATTCAATACCTAAAGATGGAAATGTAACAGTCTCTCCTCTTGAACAGAGCCAGTTAGTTGGGAAGAATTTGAAAAATATATCCCTCAAAGGCAAAACTGTGTGTAGGAACTGTGACTTCCACCTTGATGGTCCATACAAGGGTTGCCACAAAAGCAGGGATAAACCAGGTTGATGTGGGAAGCATGGAGCCCACTATAACTTACTAGCCTGCAGGAGAAACAAATCCAAGTGTTTTCAATCTTACAAAGTCAACAGGTCACTCTATTTTTCTGCTGAGCACATGCACAGGCTGGCAAAGTTCCCTACTCGCCCAATCTTTCTTGATTTTTTTCCACACAGCCCATAATTCTATATTAGTCTTCTATAAACATTTCATGGTAGGTACAGGCACTTATTGTTTATAGTTAGTGATTCTTCAATGCTTTGTGCATATATGAATTCCTCTTGCTTTTTAAATTTTGAAAGGGTAACTAATCCTGACAGAAATATTGCTGCAATAAAAAATCTCAGGAGATTGTATTTATGAGCACATGAGTTTCAAGTTTTTGGTGGATTCATCAAGAAAATTTTTGCAAGAACTGTAAGAAACAAGGAGATAGGATTATATTTTAATTTTTCTTTAGGAAGCATAAGCAGCATAGGCTACTTTTTTGGAAAGTGCCACTGGTTTATGCATCATTGCAGTTAATAACTTATTTTAGGTATTAAATCTGTCACATTCCTTTGGGTTAGAATAGAATTGAAGAATTTACAGCCAGAGACCCAAATCTGACCTAGCAATTTGAAAGCATAACAGAGATATGAATCCAATTTTTCTCTATCCAAACACTGACACACATACCTTGCATCAGAGAAACATCTGAACAAGTAATATTTAATATCAGACTGAAATAATTACAAAAATGAGAGCATGAGGATTATTAAACATTCATTTGCTGAAGAGACTTCACTCCCAAAAAGACATCACCAACAGCTGATAATGTTAAAAATTTCTTCAAAAGACAATAAATATTGTCTTCTCTTATTTCCCACATTCCATGCACTCACATTTAAAATAAAAAGCTTTCTTTTTTGACTTTTTGTAAAAAAAACCCTAATACACTCATCTTTGCAGATATCTTTGTGACAGCAGCATTATCAACGCTACACTAGTAAGATCCAAAGGATTACTCACCAATTTGGTTTGGGGTTTTTTAATATAATGGGATTGTGTGAGGAGAAAGGGTGAAAATACAACTTTGAAAATCTCATTTTACAGTGTTTTTTCAAAAAAGTACAGAGCATATTGTCCTCTGCTGGTTTATACTGAATTTTACAGTTGCAGCAATGACTATAAAACCCCGATGTCAGAACACCAGCTCAGAGATGGAAGATTTTTGTATTACCAAGTAAAGGTAAAATTTGATGTGCGTGAAGTGGCACTGAAGCAGGGAAATAACCTACCAAACACTTATGGTCACTGGGGACATTATGCTTGAGCAAGAAGGAGGACAAGGAATTAGAGGAGTCTGACAAAGGCGTACATGTGTGGGTCAGGAAGGCCTTTGAAGGCATGGAGTCTCTTTCCAACTTTTTGCCAGGTAACATTTTCACTTCAATAAGGTGGAAACATTCTTGTAAAAAACTGAAAAAACACAGGGTCAGGCCCTCACCTCTTCCCAAACAGCAGCAAGAGATAGGGCTGTGGCAGTAGCAGGGAACATCTCCTCCCACTGCATACTTGCTGGGTAGGTCCCAGCGTTATCTCATCCCCCAGGTCATCCATGCCATCCATCAGCCCTTATCTCCCTGTGGGCCCAGCACTGCCTCGCGCCCCTGCTGATGCTGATGCCACCGAGTACCTTATCAGCAGTGCCATTTGGGGCAGGGAGAAGGAGAACTGGGAGCTGCTCCCTCTTGTCCCATCCCTGTGTCCAGAGCTGGCTAAAATATCAGTGCACACGTATAGGACAAAGTCCCCCTGAAAAGGGACAGAAGCTGTGGACATTGACATGTTTCAGTCACGTTTAGTTTCCATTTTTTGAGGCTCACGTGGGCATATCTAATCTCTCAGGACATCTGCACATTTTCCTCAGCAGCCAAAATTTTGCAGGCTAGTATGTCACCTCATGTCAGAACAGGGATGTTAAAAGCACTGAGGATGATGCCTGCCTTCTCATTGTCTTCATGGGCTGATATAATGGTATCTTATTATAATAGCTTCACTGTGGCACTGAGGATGGAGTAATTTGCTCTTCAGGCATTCACACTGCTCAACAGAGAGAAAAAATGGAAACTTCCTTATATTGCTCAAACAGCAAGAAAAACCCAGGAAGGGACTTTGCTTTTCAGATTTCAGATTCAACTCTGTGACTGTCTGCTTAAGTCAGGAATGACAAGTATGGTTTAAATCCTTAGAGGGGCAGCTCTTAGATTATATGAAATCAGGAAGATGGTTTGGTAACTAAATACCTTTTTTTGATTTCCAGACAAAGGAAAGGGAAAGGGCAGGACAGCCAAAACAAAAGTCAGGGGTATTACAAAACAGTGTAAAGTGGCAAAGGGATGCTTTTACTCCCTGTGGCTGGCAGCAAGGTATTTCAGCTGCCAGGTATGATTGCAAGGGATGCTGAGTGTTGGATCTCAAATGGGCGCATGCAGCATAAAAAGCACTTGGTTTCCAATAGATCAGACTTTACATACGTACAGTGGAAAAAGGTCAGGTAGCATTTTACATTTTGAGAGTTCCGGTGAAATTTCATAAGTAAAATATGTACATATCAATAAGGTCCTTAAAAGTGTACACTAATTTTGCCAAATTGTAATATGTAGTGTAATATAATAAAATATGATATGATATAGTCTAGTATAGTATAGTCTAATATAGTATAGTATAATATAGTATAGTATAATATAGTATAATATAGTATAATATGGTATAATATGGTATAATTAGTATAATATAATATAATATAATATAATATAATATAATATAATATAATATAATATAATTAATATAATATAACATAACAATGTTAGTAATATAAGTAATAACATTGTAATAATTTATAATTTACTTTTATTTTCAGTATAGAAACTAATTCTTTTCATAGACTCCTCTATGGGATTCTTGATTTGGTCAGTATGGGAAGCTGAAACCACTGAAATCACAGCTTCCTGGAGCACAGGTGCTGAAAAAAGCATTTTTGAGGTCAAAAGATGATACTAGCATTGGAGATACCCAGGGAATTAAATCACAGTGATGAGACTTTCCCAAAGGAAAGGCGTTTAGTATTTTCCAGTGCTAGTTCATCAAGTTTATTAGCAGGTTGTTGCACTAGGAAATGCCAATGCTGTAAGAGGGGATTTGAGAGGTCCCCGACTCCACAGGTAAGAACAGTACATTTTCTGCATTTCACAAACTGGTAGCACTGGATGCTGCTGGCTTGCTCTCCTGTCTATTTATTTGCCACTCGCAGGACATACAGGCTTGTGTTTACCTACCTTAATCTCCTCAGTGGATTGTGGTGCCTGTATCTTGGCTACACCAGCTGCCAGTCACTCTGTGCCAAAGTGGTCCAGCCCACATGCTTCTCTCTGTAGCACAGCTATTCACCATCTGGTGCTGGAGAGTGTGTGGAAGATTGGCCAGTGCCAATGCAGGGACCAGAGGCAAGGTGTTTTGGCCACATCTAAGTCTGAATTTTCTTGTTTACAAGGATTGGATGTTTATCCAGAATGACGCATTCTTTGCTGCAGGTAAAGCAAAGATCCTCTGATGTAAACCATAATCTAAATGTTAAACACTAAAAATAAGTAAAATAATAATAATTTATCTTGTCATTTAATTGAGTCTAATTATTGCTATAAGTATCTCACATGTCATTAAAAACTACTTTCAAAATCCCTGTGTTTTCCCAATAGGATTCATAGCCCCCAGCTGATTTTTTAAGGTACTGGTTTAGAATATTTCTTTGAAGATATTAAATTCTCTTTCTCATTTTTCTATTTAATAACCCATTGTCCAGTAAAATAATAAAATTTAATTTGCAAATGAGGGCTTTGTGTTGTAACTTTCTTCCATTTAAGAAACTGAATTTCTGAGTGCTGCATATATATTTAATTTTTAATAAATAAACAGGAAAACTCAGTAAAGTAAAAAAATGAGAAAAAAAATTAAGATTTTGTCAGAGGACAATATTATTTAGTAATACTAGGGCATTTACACAACACAATGCCAGAAAACACAGATTTTGAGAATAAAATCCACTATAGAGTAAAATTGTTCAAAAGTTATTTTTCTAAGAAGAAGACAGGAAGTGGTTGAAAGCAACATAATATTAGCAATTTGAAAGTGATAGTTTTTGACCCTAACACATTGTTTTATTCTGTACAGGCAAAGGAATACTTTATGATGACAATATGAAGCAGTTTTCTGCAGCACTTCAGTGTTTCAGTGCTGAAATTTCCTACAAGAACTCAAATGCAGAGAGGACCTGTAGACTTTTGACTCTTGACTAGCGGGGATTTGTGTGGGA